TGGCCATCCCACTCCTTGGCTCCAGCTAAGCCCTTTCTGGATATGGACCCATTTATCAAATACGTGCTGCCTGCCCCCCCAGGCCCTGAATGATGGAAAAGAAGCAACAAGCTGAAGGCAAGCCAGAGGCACTGGGGAGCAGGGGTGTGTGTGTGTGTGAGAGAGAGAGAGAGACAGACAGACAGACAGCCTATCAAAGGGCAAAGGCAGTTTTTGCTGGGGAGGCCTGCTCTGGGGATGGGGTACAGTCCAGGAACAGATGCAGGCTCCTGTCTCCATGGGCCCTGTCTGCACTCAGACAGCTTTCTCGGCTCAGCTTGGGGAGAGGAAGGCTCAGAATCAAAAGAGGGGGAAGCCCCAGCATTTGCGAAGCAGGGAGAGGGAGCCTGCCAGTGGCGGAAGGGGTACAAAGATAAGAGAGTGGGGCAATGCATCACCTACTTCCCACATTTTCTAAGGGCCCAGACTGGCAGAAGATAAAGCCAGCCCCAGAGTGGGTGAGTGATTGGCCTTATGTCACACAGCCAATCAGCAGCAGATCCCCTTGGCTCTGGGATGACTGTCCTGTTGGGCTGTGCAGCTAGCATGGAAGATGCATCCCCCCACATTTCTTGGGCAAATGGAACACAACCCAGACGAAGGAATGAGGTGAAGCCCAAGAGGAAGGCCACTGCTCTCGCAGAGTGTGTTGGGGAGTTTTGTCTCTGGGGGAGTGGGGCAGAAATAAAGGGTGTGGTGTGAGGAAAGTGGGAGGTCAACAGAGCCTGGTCCCCTGTTCTAGCAGCAGAGGCAGAGTGGAGGGGGCTGGAAAACTCTATTTATGCTACGCTGCTCCGTTCACCTCCTGCTCTGTCCTGGCCTCTATCGTGTCCTTCCCTCCCTCCTCCTTCCCTTCCCTCAGCCCCAAATACTCCTCATCCCCTGCGAAGGCACTCCGGGTACGTGTGTGCGGCAGAGTCAGGTTAGTGGCATGTGTGTGTGTGTGTGTGTGTTTGTGTGTGTGTGTGCTGTGGGGAGTTAATGCTTGACTTCAAGGGTCGTTTTTTGGGAGTGCTAGGCAGGAACCAGGCCGTTAAGAAACTCCAAAACATGACTCAAGCAGTTGAGTAAAAACAGCTTCATTTTACAAGTCACTAGTGGGAGCTGTTTCCAGAACCTACTCAGGTGCTCTGCTGATTGCAGAGCAAGAAGACTTGAGGAGCTGGGGAGGGGGGCGGGCCCCCACCCCCACCCTCTGGGGAACTGTCAGGAACTCCCAGCACCCCCATTGCTGGCTGGGACCCTTTCTCCCACTTCTCACTCTAATCCCTGACACGGTCATGGGGGCAGCTCCGCAGGGGGGTACCCTCTGTGCCCATGGCAGGTAGTGGGCTCCAGGGAGGCCTAACCACTGAGCCAGAGAACATGGTGTTGTGGGTGCCCACACAGGCTCTGGCTTCAGGGCTAGCGGCTGCTGCTCTTCCTAGCTGTGTGACTTTGGACACGTGACTCAATGTCTCTGAACCAGTTTCCTCATTTGTAAAGGGGAGATGATAATCGTTATGGGTTTGGATTGTGTCCCCCCCAAAAAGATACGATGGATACCCCCAGTATCTCAGAATGTGACCTTATTTGGAGATAGGGTCTTCACAGAGGTAATCAAGATAAAATGAGGTGGTTAGGTGGGCCCTAATTTAGTATGACTGGTGTCCTTATAAAAAGGGGAAATCTGGACAGTGACAGACACATCACGAGGAAAGACGACGTGAGAGATGTAGGGAAAAGCTGGCCATCTATAAGCCAAGGAACCAACCCTGCTGGCACCTTGATCTTGGCCTTCTGTGAGGCGGTCAGTGTCTGTTGTTTGAGCCACCCGCTCTGTGGCACTTTGTCATGGCAGCCCTAGCGAGCTAGAACAGCAGTACTCACCAGAAGACGCAGAGCCAGCATCTGACCTCCAGGAAGGGCTGATACCCCTGGGAGTAGAAGGGAGTGGCCCCTTCTCCTAACCTGCCCCCATTTTCTCTCAGAGCAGACGCTCTGTTTCTGCTCAGGGGGAGGCAGCTGTGGTGTCAGGGAGAGACCGCAGGCTCGGGTCTCTGCTCCACCGAAGACTAGATGGTGAGACCTGGGGCAAGTCGTCGGACTTTTCAGAATCTCAGTTTTATAGACTCTAAAGTGGGGCAAATACCAAAACCTTCCCAGATATCTTGAGGGGTTATCATGAGGTTCAAATGAGATAACGCGGTGGAATCATTTGATAAACCCCACAGCGTTAACCACATCATGCGCCGCTTAACGATGGGGATACCTTCTGAGAATGGCATCGGTAGGCGATTTCGTCGGTGTGCAAACACCAGTGTCCTTACACAGACCTAGATGGTGCAGCCTGCTGCACACCTGGGCTACACGGTGTGAATCTTACGGACCACTGTCATATGTTAGGTCCACTGTTGACAAATGTTGTCATGCGGCATGTGACTGTACTACTGTGAGTATTCCTGGCATAGCAGGGAATTCTGAGGACACAGCAGAGAGTCATAGGGGAGGTGGGAGGCGGACGTTGCTGCTTTGCGGGAAAATGTGATTCTGTCCTTAGGGGCCCACAGTGGGAAGCCGGTGGGCTGCTCAGAAGTGTTCCTAGTACTGAACCTAGTACTGAATCCACCCTGAGTTCAGGCATGCTGCTACCAAGTGGCAACAGGGACTTGGCTTATGTTTTGAATCTATTTTTGGGATCTCATGCAGGAGAAGAAATCTACCATTTATTTAGTGCCAGTTCTATGAAACGGGCTTTAAAAGTTGACATCTCATTTAATTCTCTTGACTTTTCTAATAGATATGCACAAAGAACCCCAGTTTACAGTTGAAAGGATTGAGTCTCAGAGAGTTTGAGTGACTTTGTAACAATCACACAGCAAAGCTGGGATTTGAGCCTAGACTCCTAATGGAAGGCATGTAAAACTGGGGCTGCCTCCATAAACTGACTTTCCAGATTCCACATGTGTTTTCTGCTTGTACTTCCACCAAGTAAAGTGCTCCAAGCCCATTTAAATAAAAAAAAGCACCCATCTGTCCTTAAAACAGCTGAACTGCGGCTGGCCCCATGGCCAAGTGGTTAAGCTTGCGTGCTCTGCTTTGGCAGCCTAGGGTTTTGCTGGTTCAGATCCTGGGTGTGGACATGGCGCTGCTCATCAGGACATGCTGAGGTGGCGTCCCACACAGCACAACCAGAGGGACTCACAACGAGAATATACAACTATGTACTGGGGAGCTTTGGGGAGAAGAAGAAGAGAAAAAAAGAAAAGATTGGCAACAGATGTTAGCTTCGGTGCCAATATTTAAAAAAAAAACAACATATTTGTTAAAACAGCTGAACTTGAGCATTTCATTTATAGATGATGTTTTCGAGAAAATGATAACAAACCTCAAGACATCCGAACTCTTTCCTCTCCAAGTAACTATTCTAAGTCTTAGTCTTTTCCTTTGTTTTTCCCCACTTATCCAGCTTCAAAGAGAAGGTTGTGGCTCTTTGCTCTTTCTACTCACTTACTTGTTTTTTTTTTTCATGAGGAAGATTGGTCCTAAGCTAACATCTGTCCCAATCTTCTTCTACTTTGTATGTGGAATGCCCCCACAGCATGGCTTGATGAGTGGTGTGTAGGTCCACTGCTGGGGTCCAAACCCGTGAACCCTGGGCCACTGAAGTAGAGCACACAAACTTAGCCACTACGCCACCGCTTAACCACTACGCCACCGCTTAACCACTACACCACCGGGCCAGCCCCTATTTAAGCTTTTTAAAAGCCCCTTATGCTTTCAACATGCTTGACTTCAGAACCCTACCCCCCAATGTCTGTGCCTCTCTGTTACCCCAAAGAAGAGAAAGAGATCCACAGGCCCTGCCTCTTTCTCCACCCCCTGCAGCGAGGTGCCCACTCTCGCCAACACTAGCCCAGGCGAGCCTCTCTTGGGAAGTGCTAAACCCTGTTTTTCCCTTTCTCCACCCAAAGGGAAGCATCTTGGATACTTGATTCTTCAGGACCAGAGGGGAGCACCTTTCTCCCTTCGCTCTCTCCTGCGAGAGCGCCCTCCTGGACTAGAATTTGTGTCCCTGCCAGCAGGCGTCCCCTCCTGGGCTTGAGATTCTCTCCCAGTTGAATGTGGCAACATGCCCTCTGGTAGAGCAGGACACTGAGCTCTGATTGTCCCTCCCCCTGTGGGCTCTGTCCCAGGACTGGTTAGAGGTGGGCTCACATGGGCCGGTTTCCCTCTGGTTCGAATGAGCCAGGGCATGGGAGGAGTGTCTTACTCCTCATTCACACGGAGACCTCAGGAAGCCGCTTGGCTTTTCAGGAGGCACAGGCTCAGGCCCACCCACAGGGAGGGTGTGGGTTTTGGCCCCTCTGAGGAAGCCATTTCCACTCCCCGAGGGCAGACCCCCCTCTTGGTCGGCTCTGTAACCCCAGAGCCCATGTTAGCATCTGGCCTGTGCCAGCAACTTGGGGAAAGTTTGAGGAAAGAATGAGCATGCCATCAGGTACACCCCTAGGATCGTTAACCGGGCACACAGGGAGGACTCATCATCTTCTCCTGCTTGGAATCACAGGATAAAACAGAGAATTCAGGGCGTGCACGGAAAATTACTTCAACTGAAACTCTGCAGGTAACTGGGTCACAATTATTATCATTTTGGGGAGTGGGGGGAAGTCGGGGGGCCTCTGACTTGGCCCTCCTGTGGGCTTGGTTCCACCTTGAATTGTCCCCACTCTTTCCCTCCTCCTTCCTTGGTTTCTTGAGCATCTATTGTGCACCAGACCACCTGTGAGTTTATACCATTAAAAGGGCACAGCCGTGGCCCTTGAAGGGTTTACAGCCTGCAGATGGATTTTCATCCTAGGCTTCATCTGTCTCCACTTTGTATAGCATATTTCACCTTTTGCTAGGGAATTTCACGTATTATCTTATTTAATTCTCACCGTAACCTTGGGAGCTTGGTGTTATTTGTTATTTCTCTTATATTTATATTTATTATTTCTGTTAACAGCAGAACAACAGGATGGGGTGGGAGGGAGGGGGCTCAGCCAAGGCCCCTTGGGTTCAGAAGAGCAGAAGCAGTCATCCTGAATTCCTAATGAGGATGGCTATCATTCTCTCCGCACGCGTCTGACTGACGCCTCAGCTATGGCAGCGAAGCAGCATTCATTAGCCGGTGACATTTCCCAGGCAGCCTTTTACCTCCGCTTCCCCTGAGAGGCGATAACAAAAGTTTGTCAGATCTTCCTTTTACCCATCTCCCCGTCTCCCTGCCACCCCCAGTGCTTTTCATCCCTGCGTTTGAGGGCAAACGTTCTCCTGTCTCTAGGACGTGCTGCTGGGCAGACGCAACGGTCTCTGGAGAGCCCAGGGCGGCTCACTTCAAAGGGTCTTTGGAGCGCTCCACTCCGGGTGAATGCATTTCATTTTTTAGGAGGCTGCAATCAGCTACTGAGTAGGACAGGGGAACCTTGAGCGTCTCCTTCTCTCCCCATCCCCAGGACCTAATAAGGAGGGAGAGGGCATAGTTTGGGCCTGGGGAGAGGGCTGGGGCGGAGCCGTGTCGCTGGTAGGAGGGGCTGCGATCCTTAGTCAGCAGCCGGTGAGGAGGTGGGCCTGAGCAGGGGGCGGAGCCTGAGGGGGGCAGGGCCTGCGGGGGGGCGGGGCTGGGCCCGGGCGGAGGGCTGGGCGGCGTCCGGGGGCTAGGGGAGCCGTTCAAACCCACGCCGGGGCGGGGCTTCCGGGATGCTTGCGAAGGGCGGTCGTTTGAAGGCTCAAGTGTTCCGCCGGAGAGCTTGTGAAAGGGACCGAGGCCGGCCGTATAAGACACCTTCTGAGCAGGGGTTGAGGAGGGGCGTGGTTCCTGCTCTCCGTGCCGTCCTGTGATCCTGTCCACCAGGCAGAGCAGCCCCCGGGAAGGGCTGAGGCTGGGAGCGCGCTCGAGGCCAGGCCTCAGCTGTGCCCCTCCCCAGGCTGCACCTCAGGCCCGAGAGCCCGCACCCATAGCGCCTTCAAGGGTCACCTGCAGTCATGCTCCTCATTCAGGAGGGTCTGGCTCCAGCCTTTGGTCTAGGGTTTGGGGGAGAGTGGGGGTGGGTGAGAAAGAAATCTTACCAGGGCTATGGAGTGGCTTAGTTTGGTCTCTCTAGGGTGATTGGGAGGAGAGCTTGAAGAACCAGTTCATTAATTCAACAAATATTTATTGAGCACCTGCTATGTGCTGTGACAGGCCCTGGGAATATAGCAGTGGACTAGACAGACAAAAATCCCTACCTTTGAATTGAAGATTTTTGTGAGAAATTATAGGTAATAATTAGGTACAAAGGTGATTATATATGGTGTATATATATGTCTATGTATTTATTTATTTATTTCTGGTTAGATGGTGACAAGGCTGTGACCTGGGGCTGCTGTGCTGAGATTGCCCGCCTCAGGGGCACGAAGGCCATCCAGCAGAGGCAAGCAGAGAGCATGAGGGACAGAGGTGAGGAGTGCTCTGAAGGTGTGTTTGAGTCCCCAGACTCAGCAGGCCTACACTCAGCTCTCCCCCTGCATTTCTCAGTCACGTGAGCCTGTGAAGGCCTCTCTTTTGTTTTGGTTGTTCTGCCGCCTGCAACTGAAGGTGTCCTGCCTAGTGCATTCCTGCGCCAGCTTGTGCACCCTCAGGGAGTGCCTGAGCGAGCCGTGGGGGAAGGACAATGTCCAGAGCGGAGAGAGGGCTGGGCAGGGCCCTCAGGAGATGAGCTGCTGACCAAGCCAAGAGAGCACGGTGGGGAGCCTTGTGTGTGGGTGGCAGCTGTTCCAGGCCACACTGCATGGGCAGGCTTGGGCCCAAGGTTGTCCCAGAGGTCCTGCAGAGCATCCCTGAGTGGCCTCTGCATGGATGTGGACCCAGAAAGGCTGGCGCAGTGAGCGGTGCTCCACCCTCGGCCTCTGATGTCTCAGAATCTCGGGAATGATGCTGGCCCGTGCGATGGTACCACCACCTCTTGTCTGCATGTGTGTGAAGGTGAATTGAGGGTGACAGACTTGGGGGTTGGGTCTTTGGGCAAGAAGTTGGGAGGATAGGACAGTTGGAGCACCATCTATGTCTGACCACTCTGATTTGGCACTCCCTTCATTTGGGATGCCTGCAACTCTCCCCAAGTATGTCACAGGGAGAGGTTACTTAACTTTTTGAAGCTTCAATTTCCTTATCTGTAAAGTGGTGATAATACCTACCTATGGTGGCTGTTTTAGATGAGATGAAACAACACGTGTGTGAAGCGCCCAGAGGCAGCCGCTGTTGACTGAGCACGGTGCTATTCCAGTCCTACTCCTTTCCCTGCCCCACATCCACTAATTCTATTTTCATGCTGTCTTTGAAATAAGTTGCCTTCTGCTTACGGTCATGGTCTGACTTGGATTGCTAAAGGTAAGTTCTACACTTATTGGGGCAGTGTTAATTGGTCCAAAATAACAGCTCTTAAAGAGCAATAATTCCTTTCATTTGTGTAGTGCTTTATAGCCATAAATTACTTTTAATAACACTCCATCATTGATTCCTCCCAACAGCCTGATGAGACAGGTGTAATTCTGTCCATTTTTTAGATTTGGAAGTAAGCTCAAAGAAGGTGAGTACAAGTATAAGAATCAGAGAAACAGGAAGTCACAATGGACCTGTCTCTAAGAGAGGGCAGGTCCTAAGCAGCCACTTCGGCAGCCTGTGGAGGTCCTGAGGAGCCTACAGTTTGGGTGAGGGAGGGCAGCTGGAAGTACTCAGGGCCTGCTCCTTATGGTGGGGGAGGGGGAGAAGGCGAGAGGTGGTCGGAGGGACAATGCCACCGCATTTGCTGTGAGGCGGGTATTTTTTATCTCCTTTTTCCACATAAGGAGACTGAAGCTCGGTAAGGCCAAAGTCACAGAATTAGTAAAACTCAGCCAGGTCTTTTGATTCCAAGTCTAGAGAGCTTTCCACTCAGAAACCCTTAAGGTTTTGAAACGTTTTGTGGTTTCTGATTTATTAGGGACTTTTTTAAAAGAGTGGTGAATAGACACAACTGTCAGTCCAGACTTGCAGAGTTCTTTGCAAAGACAGCCGGCATGATATGGTGGAAAAGAAAACACAAGATTTGGAAGCCTTCTGCAAATTGTAGCACCCTCTGAAATGTTTTTGTTGTTTCTTTTACATTATTTGCGTATTTTTGCTGTGAAAATTTAAAGGGACCTGTTTGCTCTTTCTGTGTCCTTGCTCAGTGGCTACAAAGTGTCTGCTACACAGTAGCAGCTCAGTAAATGGTAACTTTTGGAATGAATTGGAATGAAGCCAAGGGCCTTGCTCTGTGTTCCTACAACGGGGGTTCTCTCAGCCAGCTGCCGACAGGTCCTTCCCTCCCTGAGGGCAGTGGGCATATCTTTCCTTTTGTGTTTCGCACTGCATCCCCTGGGCAGCCCTGTCCTGTCTTCCCCTGTCAGTAGGTCACCTGTGTGCTCTGCTATAGGCAACAGATCTCATTACAAACAGGAGGCTGGGCAGATGTGCAGTGAGAGAGGCCCCCATAGCCCATCTCCCTGGATTGCTTGGGAAGAAATAGATGACTCAGTGCTGGCACACAGGGACCGGGATGCCAGCCCCATTGGCAGCAGTGGCATGGGGAGTGGAGGGCTTGCTTCTGCAGTCCCCATTCCCTGGCACCAGCCTGAAGGCCAGGGCCTGCTTCGTGGGCATCAGAAGGTTATGAGCAGGCCTCCTCACCCTGTGGGGATAATTGGATTAGCTAAAGAAAGAGTGGCTCCCTTCTGCCCTGCTCTGTCTGTATTCTTCTCGGCAGGACCCTGGGAAGAGAAAGTCTGGGGCTGCAGGCTCTGGGCTCCTCCCTGACCTCTGGGGCATTGGGTCAGCCTGGGGTCTTATTATCCCACTCTGTTCGCAGCATGTGAAACGGTAAGGCCAGCATGTGGCCCCACCGCTGAACATAGAGTCAGAGAATAAGAAAGCAGGGGCCTTCAGAGAACCAGCCTCCCTGTTCCCAAAACGTGCCAGGCCTATCTCTGTGACCAAAGCCCTGCTCCCCTACTCAGGCAGAGGCTGTTCTGGTTAGGAAGCTCTGGGCAGATAGCATGGTGGGACACACATTTTGGCATCAAAGAGACCTAGATTCAAATCCTTCTCTGCCGCTTCCTGGCTGTATGCCCTTGAACCTCTCTGAACCAGTTTCCTTACATAGCAAAATGGGGTTAATAATATCTACTTCAGGGGGCGGATGTGAGGGGCAAAGGGTCTCTCTGTGGGGAGAGGTTTTGGTATAAAGGATTATGATGACGTGCCTCCCAGAGGGCAGAATGTGGGCATGTGGACTCTTTTGTCAAAGACGCTTGGGATCCTGGGCAAATTCTTTTTGCAAAGTCTCTGTGTAAATAAAGATTGGTGTCACCTAAAATCAGAGTGCTGTCACCATTCTGGCATCTGAGCTAGTGTGATCCTGTAAAACAAATGCCACACCAGCCAGTGAGCAAACTGCCCACCAGATCCCCATTCTGGAACTGGAGTGGCACAGACCTTCAGTGCGATCCCTTGTGTGTGAGTCTAGGAGCTCCTCCCGACATCTGGTCAACACCACTTGCTTGGGCGTGAGGGGTGGGCACAGAATTGGAGAGTGCCCAGAAGGGGAGAAATTGGAAGGGAACTTAGAAAATTGTGAGGAAGACACTCCAAATCCCACGACCCTGAGTCTCAGGCCTGGGACTGGCGTGCACGCCCAGGCCTGGGGGCAGCAGTATCTGTGTGAAGCCCAGGCTAGGTCTCTGCCCGACTCAGGGCTAAAGTGGAGCTTGGGGTTAAAGTGCAAGAAGGGGATTGAGGTTGATAGAGCAGGAGGGGGACTTAAAGATGACTAAGTCCAGCTTCTTAGGGCACAGGCTTTCTCTCACACCAGCTCATTTGTTTGGCCGTCATGAAGGGGAAGTCATGTGGTGGCATCTGTGGCTGCAGCACCGTGTCTTGCTGAGTTGAGTGGAGCTGTGAGTGCCCTACTGACCAGGGGCATTGACTCGCCTTTGAGGTGTGGCTGGATGTTGGGTATTGGGCCTCAGGAAGGCACGGGGCCTCCTTACTCGAGGGGATAAATGGGGAGGGACAGAGTGGAGAGTGTCTTTTGCACCTTTTGGGGATTCCCAACTCCATTCCCTCATCCTAGGAGCTTGGCGGGCTGAGCAGGGTCCTTTCCCAAGAAGGCAGTTCCTCAGGTGGGCCTGCCCCAACCACCCTCCTTGGTTAGGCCTGGCCTCTGGACACATGACTTAGGGCCCTGCTCCTTCCGCCCCAGCTCCCCACAACCTGCTGGTCAATTCCTGAAGATTCAATGGGAGCTGAACCTTGAGGCAGGTGGACATGTCCATTTCCATGGAGCAATCCTCCAAAGCCCTGGTGTATACTCACCCCACACCTAGGACCCCCAGTTTCTGCACAAATTCATGGAGACTGGCCAAATGAAAAACATCTTGGAATGTTTCTGCTTGTCCATTGTCCAAGGAAGGGACGGAGGAGCAAGAGGGCCAGGCAGGCGCTGCCTTACCAGGCTGCGTGGACATGATGGGACCCCCGGGGAAGAGTGTTCCTGCCGAGGGGCTTGCTACCTGGATCCTCTGCAAGACAGACCCCTCAAGTTCCTCTCCCCCTCCTGCTAATTCCATCAAAACCTCTTGGTTAGTGGAAAGAGCACTAGACTAAGTGAGTAGGAGATTTGGATTCCAACGGTGACTGTTACTGTTCTGGGTGACCTTAGGTAGGTCTCTGTCCTTGTTTTGCTCATCTGAACATCGAAATGATAATCAAATCTGTTCAATTGGTTATTTTGAGATGCAGTGAGATAATGTAGGTAAAAGAGCTTTGGAAAATTTGTGCAATACTACACAAGTGTAAGGTATTATCATTAAACAACTCTGAGCTCTTGCTTATTGCTCACAGCGATCTTTGGCCTTTTAATACACTTCCTCTTAGGAAGTCCAAAGCCAGGGTCATCTTTAATGAGAACATTAAAGATGGAATCTTGTTAAAATGCAGATTCTGGTTCAGTCAGTCTGAGGTGGGCTCAGATTCTGCATTTCGTTGCTCCCAGGTGATACCAATCCTGTTGGTCTTGGGGACCACTGGTGAGAAGCAAGGGACTGGGAGAAGTATCCCCTCGCAGGAAAGGAGACTGAAGTCTTCCTAGAGTTGGTTGAGAAGAAACAGCTCAGAAAATACAGCAGAAGTACGGGTTTATTAAAACAGCTGGCAGTCAAAGATGGCCTGTTGGTCACAAAAGATAAACTTTGGTCTTTGGAAAAACAGAGAGCAAGAGGCAAGAAGAAGGAAGAGAGAGACTGGGCGGGGGAGGGTGACAAAGAGACAGAGAGAGAGACAGAGAGACACAAGGAGACTCAGGGAGCCAAGAAGCCTTGGACAGATCACTTCCTGGACTTCTCTGCAGAGCAGCCACCATTGGTCTTACTAAGAGAGTCTGTGCTGCCCATTCTTGAACCCATGCTGTTGAGGATTTTGTCGATTTCTCCTGGGATGTTTTGCTTCTCCTCATTCTCAGTCTCCCGATGGTAGAAGTAGTTAAAGTTGGAGACAATGACAGGCACAGGGAGGGCAATGGTGAGGACCCCTGCAATGGCACACAGAGTGCCCACAATTTTCCCTCCTGGGGTGGTTGGGCACATGTCTCCGTAGCCCACAGTTGTCATGGTGACCACTGCCCACCAGAAACCATCAGGAATGCTAGAGAAATGGGACTCTGGCTCATCTACCTCAGCAAAGTAGATTGCACTGGAGAAGAGAATGACTCCAATGAAGAGGAAGAAGATGAGCAGCCCCAACTCCCGCATGGAAGCCTTCAGCGTCTGCCCCAGGATCTGCAGCCCCTTGGAGTGGCGGGAGAGCTTGAAGATGCGGAAGACCCGCACCAGCCGGATGATCCTCAGGATGGCCAGGGACATGTTCTGCTGGGCGCTCGGCTCTGTCTCCTGGACAAGCTCTGTGATGAGGGTTGCAAAGTAGGGGATGATGGAGATGATATCGATAATGTTCATGATGTTCCTGAAGAAGTCAGTCTTGCTGGGGCAGACCACAAACCGGACCACCAGTTCAAAGGTGAACCATACGATGCAGGTGGACTCTACCATGAAGAAAGGGTCAGTGAACATGGTGTGGGAAAGGAATGTCTTGCTTGTGTTGAGGCTGGGGTCTCTTACCACCTTCAGCTCCCTATCCTCCCGGAACTCAGGTAGTGTCTCCAGGCAGAAGATTGTGATGGAGATGACCACAACCAGCACAGAGACCACTGCTACACCACGGGCAGCACTGGAGCTCTCAGGATACTCGAAGAGAAGCCAGAACTGCCGGTGGAAGTCATTGGTGGGGAGCAATGTTTCAGGGTCTTTGATGAAGCCTTCGTCCTCCCGGAATTGGTCCATGGCCTCGCTACCCAGCTCATAGAAGGAGATCTCATCAGCAAAGACATCGATAGGGACATTGGCTGGGCGCCGGATTTTTCCACCAGATTGGTAATAATATAGGATTCCATCAAAACTGGGCCGGTTCCTGTCAAAGAAATACTCATTTCTCATGGAGTCGAAGAACTGCATCCTTTTCTCCCGGTCTCCCAGGAGGGTCTCTGGGAACTGATTGAGGGTTCTGAGTTGGGTTTCAAATCTCAGCCCAGCGATGTTGATGATCACCCGCTGGTTCCCTTCATTCAAGACCACTGACTCAGGCCCTGGGGGATCCACATAGTCTCCTGGGAGCTTAGAGAAGGTCGTCTCATGGTTGGTGCTGTCACTGATGAGGATCCTCCAGTTGGAGAAGGGGCTGCTTCCAGACTGGCCTTTTGGGTTGGTTGGGTCAAAATCTGTGGCATAGTCTGGCTCTTCCTGGATTTCATCTGAGTTATCAAAATTGACCAGAGCAACCTCCATTTCTTTCCAGCCACGCGCATCCATCGTAGGGGAGTCAGGGAAGCAGCATGAAGACTCTCAGTCTTCCCCGCCTGCTGCAAGCTGTGGAGAGGAAGAAGGTCATCAAACAGGAGCTGGGACACAGCTGGCTCTTGATCATTGAGGTAAGGTGTACCAAGGGAGTCAAAAATGATTTATTTTTAGCTTGGGAAGGAAGCTTGTGGTTGTTTTGACAACATTCATCCATTGAAATCAATTTGTATCCCAAGTCTGCACACACTAGTAACTAGAAGAAATTGCAAAGAAAGAGCTTGGCTGAGAGGGGAAAACTTTCTCCAGCCAAAGACCCTCTCCATACATGATGGCAGAGAGAGGCCATAATGGGAGAGGAAGTAAACATTTCTTAATAATAAAACGTATAATTTGGTATTTGGATGAAGTCCTCCAGTTTACCCAACACTTTTCCATGCCCAGTCTCATCTTTAACTCCCTTCTTTCTCTCACCTTTGACATCAGTCCCGCGTGTATCCTTTTGGTTATATCTTAAGATGTATCTAGAATTCAGCCATTTCTCATCACCTACAGCAGCTGGTTGGGCAACCAACAGCATCCTCTCCAGCAGTGACTATCTGTGCCTTATCCCCTCCTCTGTAAGTAACTTCCAGGGTTGTTCTGAGGGTACATTAAATGAGGTGGCTTATGTAAAATGCCTGGTGGAAAGATCACTAAAGTATAACTATTGTTTTTGCCAACTTCTCCACATAGCAGGACATTTAGAAGCCAACAGCTATTGGTATTTTTTTTTGCCTTAGATCCAAAATGTTTATGGGAAATGATTTCATTTTTAAAAATCATTTTAGGCAGGTGGGAAGTAAGTAAGTAATTGCATGTGTGTGTGTGTGCACACGCATGTGTTTGTGTGTTTGTTGGGGGTGGGGCTAAGGAGAGCATGCCCAGTGGGCTTGGATATCCACACAGGTTAAGAGTCCTTCCTCAGGTCCACTCAAGCTTCGATTTCAACTCAATAACACTGCAGGCAGGCAGGCTGGGGGTGAGGGTGGGAGAGAGGTAAAGTCTGTAGTGGGCATAGCCATGACGTCATTTCATTTACAGATGACAAGGACATCCTGCAGTGTACAGTGTTGTAGTCTTTTCAAAGTGATGCCACGTTTGCTTGTCTCGCTAAATGACAATGATTGAAGTTGGAAAATTTTATTTCCATTTTACAGATGGGGAAGCTGAGTCACAGGGACCAAGTGATACAGAGCCCTGATCTGAACCTGCCTCCTGGCCCAGGGCCTTTCCTACTAGCCCATGGGGCCCCTGCGTGGAAGCTGAGGCCTTGAGGGGAGCTGCAGGCTAGGGCCACAGGAGTGTGGGAGCTCGGAGCTCCTTCAGTTCCATGCCCTCATTTCTCAGTTCGGGTGCCAGGTGTGGGGTGAAGAGCTCAGGTTTGGGTGGCCAGGGCTGGCTGAGCACCTGCCCTCCCTCTTAGGAATGTGTGGCCTTGCAAGCTGCCTAATTTCACTGAACTGCAGCTTCCTTGGCTGTGGAATGGGGGCGGATGTAGCCACCATGGAGCATGTCAGGTGCCGGCCTGCCATGTGATGCTCAGTGAGCAGTAGGGTGGTTGGAAGGCAGGATGGAGCAGTGGTTAAGAACTCTGAGATGGGAACCAGTCTACGTGAGCTGGAATCCTGGCTCTGCACATGGGAAGCCCTGGAGAGATGTTAGCTGTTCCTTCGCAGTGACCCATATGATGGTGTATGGGACTTGTCCTGGGCTACTCGGCTCCCGGGCAGACCTAGGGCCAGGACTCCGTCTCTCTGCCCACCTTGTGACTTCAGAGCAGCCCTTTGTCCTTTGGGGTCATGGCCCTGGGGGATGCTCCCTGCTCATCTCCTTCTTGGTGTGAATGCCATCCCACTTTCTGCAGGCTGAAAGGCAGGGGTGCCATCCAGGGGCTCTGGGGGAGGGGCTTGGGGACTGCTTCCAAGGGGCTACAGTGGGCCCTTATCAGGAGCCTTCTCTGGAGGCCAGGGGCAGAAGGCATGTGGGGTTAGGGAGAACTTCCTTGGCCAAATAATTAGCTTCCTCTCCTGGGAGCCAGGCTCCTTTCTCCCCTCCTCCTGATCTCCTCTTTCTTGCTTCCATCCCCAGTTCAAAGAGACAGACAAGAGGGTGGTTGGAGAGGGTCAGGTGGTGTGGGAGGCGGTGGGACAGTGTCAAGGTCAAACAGCATATTCCGTGGTCTACAGAAGCGTGCTGTACGGTTGCTCCACGTGCCCTTTAGATTAGTAAATGTTGATCCTTATAGACATAGGGAAAAGAGAACCAGTCTTGGGGACAAGAGACCTGGCTTGAGGTCTCTGCCCCACCACTTAGGAGGTGTCTATTTCTGAGTAAATCACTGGATTTTATGAGCCTCAGTTTTCTGATTTGTAATGTGGGAAAAATAATTCTCACCTCAAAGATTACACTGAGGACTAAATAAGGTGACGACAATGAGAGTACTTGTAAATTGTAAATTATTACAAAAATGTAAGGAATGACCCGCCCTGCTCCCCGCCTTGCTGTTCCATGCATAAACACCATGTGACATACTTATGGGCAGGGAGCACGTTTTATGTGGCCTCCACTTCCCCAGGCGGAAGTCTCAGCTTTCTGTCCTCCTGACCTGCTGTGCCTGATCCTGCGTCCGTGCCTCCCTGCCTGCTCTGCTCCTGCCTGGCACACACTTTCCCTCCCTTGTTTCTCCTTGTCCTCTGCCTGTCTGGGGACTGCTCAAGTTCTGCCTTGTCTGAGGAGCCTGCCTGGCCAGTCCAGCTTGGAGAGCCCTCCGCCCCCCTGAGCTCCTGGCCTCCCTGCCGAGATCACGCAGGCTGGGACTCGATTTGGAATGCCACCTTCCACAGGGTCAGCCTTTGCTCTTCAGCTCTCTTGTAAGTCTTCAGAGGGCAGAACAGTGTCTTATAGTTTTCCCTTCTGCCCTGCATGGTTTTGGAGGACAGAATTCCCCTCCAGTGATCCCCACGTGCATCACCCCAGTGCCCAGCCTGGAGTGGCAGATAGGAGGGTGGCTGATGACAGTCAGGGTGTGGGAGGTGGTGGGGCAGTGCCAAGCTCAAGCAGTGTTTTCCGTAGACGGGCAGTGATATTTGTTAAGCAGGCGAATGAATGAATGAAAGAAGTGCAAGCTCTTGAGGGCAGGGACCATGTCTGTTTTGTGCACCATTATGATTCCAGCACCTGGTCCAGGGCTTAGCCCCCCCCAAGCGCTCAATTAACCTCGGTGAGTGAATGAATGAAGTGTAGCAGATATCATACTGGGCTCCAAGCCGGGACACCTGCACTGCCTCCTCTACTGCTTTATGATTGCTGACTTCTTGCATTTCCTTATCAAGACTCCCATTTTTTTCATCTGTAATAAGAAAATATGCTAAGTCAAAGAAGCCAGATAGAACAGGGTACATATAGAATAATTCCATTTATACAAAATTCTAGAAAATGCAAACTAATCTAGAGTGACAGAAAGCAGACCAGCCACTGCCTGAGGCTGGGGGCGGGGAGGGAGAACGAGGGATTCCCAGGGGCCCGGGGAACTCTTTTAGGGGTGGTGATGATGTATATCTCAATTGTGGTCATGGTGTCACAGGTGTGTACATATGTCCAAACTCATCAAGTTGCACGCTTTAAATCTAGTGTGCATGATAGTGTCTCAGTATATATGTTAAAAAAGAAAGGCAAACAAACCAGGAAATAAAAGTGCATCATCTGCGGATGATTCTTTAAGGTTTTTGTAAGGACCAAAGGGGATGTGGATGCTCTATCAACTGCATGCGTCCGGGGGAAGGAGGGGATCACTCTTGCGTAGCACTTACCACGGTGCGGTACCGTGCCCACCCAGGCTGCAAGGGCCCAGCAGTAGTTTAGAAGGAGTGAATGAACCTGGAGCCAGGGCCGAGCGTGGCTCCCAGGGGCCACCCAGCAGCATGCACCCCTGCAGAGCGGCACTGGGAAGGCCACCCTCTCTCAGAAGTGTGCACAGCATCAAGCAGCCCCTGGCCCTGGCAGGCTGGCTCCTTGCATCTTAGTGCTAGGCATTCTGTCTGTTTGGTGGCAGGAGAGAAGCCACTGCCTGCACTGGGAAACAGCGCCTCCTCTGGAGAGGTTTCCCTCTACTTTACAGAGACCTTTAAATGACCATTTCATGGGAGCCGAGGTGGGAGCTGGCTCTGCTCCTGGGCTGCCCTCCTCGCCCCACACTGGCCCCTGGGAGGAGATGGATGCTCTGGGTGGGGTGGGGCACCCCAGTGAGGGTGCAGCTGTGGGGCTGGGGTATTTGGGGGCTGAATACCTGGAGTCCTGGAGCCCGCTCTGCTTGTGGAGTGTGAGTGTGGGGTTCTTGAGGGCTTTCCCTGAGTTTTATCTCTTTTCATCCACCCAGCATTCTAAGGCCTCACAGGAATTACCAGTACTCAAGACTGAACTCTCCCCCGTAGCTGAAGTGACCACTGTATTCAAGACTCTTCTGCAACGTCTGATTCTACTCATAATCTCTCTGCTTGCCTGGCACGGTGAAAGAGTGCATCGGGGTAAACGACCTCTCTTCCTCTCTGAACGGACTTGTGTTCTCCTCCATCCAGGCCACTATTTGTGCAGGTCCTGCCACCTGCATGCCTTACTTCTAACTGCCCCTGAAGGGAAGCTTTCCCTAAGGATGCCGGGTGAAGTTATTCCGGCCCTTCTGAGAACCCCCTAGACAAGGTTTTGGCCCAACATCATTTGGTCTGTGTCTTATCTCCCCAGAGTCTTGTCATCTTCAGATCCCTCAGCATCTTTGTACATGGGGGCAGGCTGGTCCACGCACCGTCCCCAGTGCATCGTACACCTCCTCATCCTCCAACCTGTGCTCGCTCCCCTTCCCCCAGAGCCAGGCAGGATTGGGTTGAATCTCAACTCTGTACTCACTAGGTATGTGGCCTTGGGCAAATCACCATCTCTGTGAACTCTGCTTTCTTTCTCTCTAAATGGGTCTAATCATA